GATTGTGGGAGTAACTGTTTTTTTAAATTTTTTCAAATGCTATCATCTGAAAACAATGACGAGGTATTTAAAGAAGACATATCTACCAAGGTACATATATTGAAAGCAGAGACGGGAGAGGCCTGGCGGGGAATTGGAAATAATTGGAAAAGGAATTTACAGCTCAAGAGGTTAGAGAGGTCTTAAAATCACCCTGCAAGAATAAAGCCCTATTTTTTGTAAGAAAACAAATGTAGGGGAATATCTTTTTCTTCCTAATGTATCCGTTTTGATCATAACGATAAAACTGCAATATGTATTCCATGACTATAGACTTGAAATGGTTATGCCAGTATATATAAGGAGAAGCATGACAAATCTGATACTCAGAATTACAGACGTTTCATTTTAATATCAGGTGTCATCTAGCTCTTTGAAAAATTATTGCTCAAACGTATAGAGTCAGTGAATGAGTGAGTTGGGCTTAACACCGCTTTGAACAGAATTCCAGTGATATCACGACGTGCCAGCTTTCTGTGGGAGGAAAGACCTAAGCGATGCGGACCTCAGACGTTTGCGACTTTGGTGAAACCCACGGGCATGGTGCTGACAAACCAAGAAAACAGGTTTCTGGCGTGCCGAGGGGGTCGCATCTCTGCACAGCGAATTGTGTCTCCTTACACGACTAAGCCACACGTTCCCCCTGAACGTATAGAAGACAAATTGTTTAAACGTAATCCAGATATGCCTTATATGCTACATTTTGGATTTAGAAGAGAGCACGGACCTATTACAGAGAAAGGGATTCTGACGTCTTTGTTGCTTAGATAATGAAAAAGGCATTCGATAGAATACATTTTCCCAAGGCAAGGGTGTTAACAAACTACTAAAGTCCAGTTTCCACCCTTGCCGAACTACGCTGGAATTTCGTGGCTCAATCGTAGTGGCTATTACAAGTTCCGTCTCTTCTATACCCCTCCTTCTGACCAATCAGATTCCACCTCTCATATCACTTGCATTTGCTTCAAACAAAATGGTAGCGTCCAGTCAAGATTATCTGATCGATAATCAAGATTTATATTGTAATAAAACGCGCCTTACCTCGCGAAGTGCATCAAAATCAAATTATTTGAGCACCTTGATTAAAACATGAAAATATTTGGAATTTTTTGTCGACGCCCTGTTGACGGTACACATGTTTTGCAAATCCTGCAGTCGATCGAAATATGCACGATGACATCCATGTTGTTTTCGAACCGGATGTCTAGTTCGATGCGCGAATGTGATTTGACTATGCATGGACTCGTTAGTCCAGCCAAAATGTTACTCATGGATTCCAGCTATGTTCGGCAAGGGTGGAAACTGGACTTTTACAGTCAGTTAACTCTCTTGCCTCGGGAATATGATATAATATGTCACGATGGGTTATTTGCAAACTGCTTGAAATGTGTATTGGAGGTGGTGGGGTGAGGTGAAATGGGGTTTAACGTCGCGTCCAAGATTATTGCACATATCACGTGCATGCACGTGTGTGTGTGGCTGCTTGTACTAGTCCGGACTGATGCCGATTTATAGTGCTAGCCCACTGAGATACCATGCCGCAGTTTAACATGCATACCCCACTCAGACACAGTATACTGACTCCGAGCCGACCAGTCCTTGTTTTAGCCCCTTAATGCCGAGTGCCAGGCAGGGTAACAACAAGTAACATCTTTCAACGTCTTTTTGTATGACGCGGCCGGGGATCAAACCTCAGACATTCCTCTCTCCGGGCGGACGGTCTACAACTAGAGCACTGAGGCGGTCGGGTATTAGAGGTAATGCACGGAAACTACTACATCGTTGTAATACTCACTACCAGTGAGTGAGTGAGTGAGTTGGGTTTAACGCCGGGAAGAAATCCCCAAGTGATGCAGGTCTCAAGCGTTTACTAGTTCGGTGAAACCCACGAGCACGGGTGTGGTGCTGACAAACCTAGAAACATAATCGGAGCGAACCGAGATTCGAACCCACAATCATAGGTTTCTGGCGTGTAAACGTCCGAGACCTGGACCACTTCGGGCTTCCCTCCCACATTAAGCTGACACGCTGCGATGTAACTGGAATACTGTTAAAAGCGGCGTTAAACCCAACTCACTCACTCACTTAAACACTACTGTTGTTAGTACACATACGTTCTCAGCCATGGAAAGTTTTAATAACGCACTATTTGGATTATTTTACGGACGCTTCAAGCACTAATTACGATCGATTCCCATTACAAAGCTGACCAATACTATGTTTCTTGCCGTCGTGCATAGTACATCTCTGATTTCCACACAAAGGAACATTATTATTTGATATTAATGAAGCATGGTATATGAACAGTATTGCAACTCCATGAGAGGGGATGTACATGACTGAGGTATTACTATTGTAATGAGACGGAGTGTACATGACTGAGGTATTACTATTGTCATCAGAGGGAGTGTACATGTCTGAGGTATTACTATTGTAACGAGAGGGGATGTACATGACTGAGGTATTACTATTGTAACGAGAGGGAGTGTACATGACTGAGGTATTACTATTGTAACGAGAGGGGATGTACATGACTGAGGTATTACTATTGTAACGAGAGGGGATGTACATGACTGAGGTATTACTATTGTAACGAGAGGGGATGTACATGACTGAGGTATTACTATTGTAACGAGAGGGAGTGTACATGACTGAGGTATTACCATTGTAACGAGAGGGAGAGTACATGACTGAGGTATTACTATTGTAACGAGAGGGAGAGTACATGACTGAGGTATTACTATTGTCATCAGAGGGGATGTTCATGACTGAGGTATTACTATTGTAACGAGAGGGAGTGTACATGACTGAGGTATTACTATTGTCATCAGAGGGGATGTACATGACTGAGGTATTACTATTGTAACGAGAGGGGATGTACATGACTGAGGTATTACTATTGTAACGAGAGGGAGTGTACATGACTGAGGTATTACCATTGTAACGAGAGGGAGAGTACATGACTGAGGTATTACTATTGTAACGAGAGGGAGAGTACATGACTGAGGTATTACTATTGTCATCAGAGGGGATGTTCATGACTGAGGTATTACTATTGTAACGAGAGGGAGTGTACATGACTGAGGTATTACTATTGTCATCAGAGGGGATGTACATGACTGAGGTATTACTATTGTAACGAGAGGGGATGTACATGACTGAGGTATTACTACTGTAACGAGACGGAGTGTACATAACTGAGGTATTACTATTGTCATGAGAGGGGATGTACATGACTGAGGTATTACTATTGTCATCAGAGGGGATGTACATGACTGAGGTATTACTATTGTAACGAGAGGGGAAGTACATGACTGAGGTATTACTATTGTCATGAGAGGGGATGTACATGACTGAGGTATTACTATTGTAACGAGAGGGAGAGTACATGACTGAGGTATTACTATTGTAACGAGAGGGGATGTACATGACTGAGGTATTACCATTGTAACGAGAGGGGGTGTACATGACTGAGGTATTACTATTGTAACGAGAGGGAAAGTACATGACTGAGGTATTACTATTGTCATGAGAGGTGATGTACATGACTGAGGTATTACTATTGTAACGAGAGGGAGAGTACATGACTGAGGTATTAGTATTGTAACGAGAGGGGATGTACATGACTGAGGTATTACCATTGTAACGAGAGGGAGTGTACATGACTTAGGTATTACTATTGTCATCAGAGGGGTTGTTCATGACTGAGGTATTACTATTGTAACGAGAGGGAGTGTACATGTCTGAGGTATTACTATTGTCATCAGAGGGGATGTACATGACTGAGGTATTACTATTGTAACGAGAGGGGATGTACATGACTGAGGTATTACTACTGTAACGAGACGGAGTGTACATAATTGAGGTATTACTATTGTCATGAGAGGGGATGTACATGACTGAGGTATTACTATTGTAACGAGAGGGAGAGTACATGACTGAGGTATTACTATTGTCATGAGAGGGGATGTACATGACTGAGGTATTACTATTGTAACGAGAGGGGATGTACATGACTGAGGTATTACTATTGTCATGAGAGGGGATGTACATGACTGAGGTATTACTATTGTAACGAGAGGGAGAGTACATGACTGAGGTATTACTATTGTCATCAGAGGGGATGTACATGACTGAGGTATTACTATTGTAACGAGAGGGGATGTACATGACTGAGGTATTACCATTGTAACGAGAGGGGATGTACATGACTGAGGTATTACTATTGTAACGAGAGGGAGTGTACATGTCTGAGGTATTACCATTGTAACGAGAGGGGATGTACATGTCTGAGGTATTACTATTGTAACGAGAGGGGATGTACATGACTGAAGTATTACTATTGAAACGAGAGGGGATGTACATGACTGAGGTATTACCATTGTAACGAGAGGGAGTGTACATGACTGAGGTATTACCATTGTAACGAGAGGGAATGTACATGTCTGAGGTATTACTATTGTAACGAGAGGGGATGTACATGACTGAGGTATTACTATTGAAACGAGAGGGGATGTACATGACTGAGGTATTACTATTGTAACGAGAGGGAGTGTACATGTCTGAGGTATTACCATTGTAACGAGAGGGGATGTACATGACTGAGGTATTACTATTGTAACGAGAGGGGATGTACATGTCTGAGGTATTACTATTTGTCATGAGAGGGGATGTACATGTCTGACGTATTATTATTGTAACGAGGGCGGACGTACATGACTTAGGTATTACTATTGTCATGAGAGGGTATGTACATCTCTGACGTATTACTATTGTAACGAGGGCGGACGTTCATGACTTAGGTATTACTATTGTCATGAGAGGGTATGTACATCTCTGACGTATTACTATTGTAACGAGGGCTGATGTACATGACTAAGGGATTACTATTTGTCATGAGAGGGGATGTACATGATAAATCAATACAAAACAATCACGAATGTGATCGAGAAGACATTCACTATTCAATTGTATTCTTTATTAAATAGTAAAAACATCAAACAATTTAACAATGCCCATCGATATAGGTACATGTATATGATGTAGCCGTGTCATACAATATCAAATGAGTATGTTGTTTTATGACGTAACGTAACAAGGGCTCTCTGCACTGAATGCGACTCGACGTCAATGAAAAATATCTTTTAGTAAAATAGGAAAATCCTTATTGCTTCACGGCCCCATTCGTGGTCGTTGGAACAGTAGTGTGCGCGTGCCCTCGACATGCCCTCCTTCAAGCAGTCGTAGAGTTGTGTCCCTTTAGACAACAGAACACAGGTGTCGCGCATGTCGGTACAGTGTCTGAACTAAGTGTGTCGTTACTACACAAGAGTTGGACGGTCGTCTGTCACCCCTGTCACTTCACCTTGTCTTCGTGGAGCTTCATGTCACCAGCACTGAATATCATTCTATGTCTTGCAAACTGTGGCGCAGCACGGAACTTGAGATCAGTACCATGGAACCAGTCCAACAACCCAGTGACCCCGTAGTTCACGTTGTATCTACAAGAGAAAGACTTCCAGCATAAAATATCGTTAAAATCAGATCTTCATTGAAACGAGTTATATTGGAAGTTAATAAATAACTTGGTGTGTCTCCGAAATGGGCGACAGGCAAAGGCTCCCATAAAAAGGGCGGTCGTAAGTATTGTTGATGTGTAGGACTTCTGACATCGCATCAGAAATCACTGTTCAGATACTTGTATACGGGTGGCTCCGTTTGATTTTACGCCGCTTTGAACACAATATACATTCATAATCAACGGCAAATCTGGGATTAGAACCAACGATCACAGGATTCTGGCAAAGCCAAGGGATGTAACTCTACTCCGCGAACCCCTAGACGAATTGGCCATCCGGGCCCTCTCATATATATATGAGGGTATAATCAGTTTAAAGGAAATGGGTCAATTTATTAAAAGCGCGAAAGGAAAATGATGACGATGACGATGATGATGATGATGATGATGATGATGATGAAGATGTTGACGATGATGATGAAGATGTTGATGATGACGACGATGATGATGATGAGGAGGAGGAGGATCTCACTTTAGATGGTGGTAGTCGTGGAACTCCGACGACGTGAGGATCGGCAGATGGTAGCCGCTGTGGTGGATCATGGTGGTGAAGGTGGCGACGGCGAACCACGTCCACGTGGTCAGGAGGCAGGAGCCGCACACCAGGGGGCCGAGGACGAGAGGGACGATGTTGGAGAAGATGTATTCTATGGGGTGGGCGTAGACTGCCACGTAGCTGAAGGGGGCCGTCCACTCGTGGTGCTGCTTGTGTATCCAGCTGTAGAACGCGGGGTGATGAAGAAGCCTGGGAGAAGATGTGAGATGTGTTAATAACTCCAGATGATTGTTCCAGGGAATTAATTCGGAAATGAGGCTACGGTGAATGCATTTTATATTAAAACATATAAATATGATTATTTGAATATCTTGTCTTGTTAAATAAGTCATTAATTGTTGGAAAATTCATGTTCTTCTTGTTCGCATTATGGAGGTTTGTATATTGTTTGTTTGTTTGTTTTTTGTTTAAGGCCGCACTTAGCAATATTTCCGCTGTATGACGACGGTCTGTAAATAATCGAGTCTGGACCAGACAATCCAGTGATTGACATCCTGAGCATCGATCCATGAAATTGGGATACGATGAAATACATCAACCAAGTCGGCGAGTCTGACCACCCGATCCCGCAAGTCGCCTCTTACGGCAAGCATTGGTTGCTGAAGACATTTTCTCAGACATGGTAGTGAGCGGGTATGTTTTTACGCCACTTTTAACACTATCCCAGCAAAATCAAAGCGGGGTTCAACGGAAATGGGCTTAACACATTGTACCCATGAGGGGAATCGAACACGGGTCATCGGCAGGATGAGTGAACGCTTTAACGCCCAATGGCGCCATCATGTCAATACATTCATTTGTATAAAGGTAACCGTCTACATGAGGCTATAGACGCCACTTAAAACAGAATCATCATTGAGTTTTGATCACGTGGTTACAATCTGGGTAAGGGTCAGCAGTCAGGCGACTGCCAGCGGGTGTAACAAATAGCAGTGTGTGTACTTCAAACCAGGACAATAGATCCATATACAATATCTGTAGGTGTTTTTCTCTCAGTTCGTACAGGTAATGTACGTACGCTGCACATTTTTAGACTTTTTAGTCTTAGTTATTCGCAGGAAGTCGAATCAACACTTAAACCGTGAAAATATATGCATGTATATTATTTGCTGACGTTATTCGAGAAGGCGACCTCACAGCTATAGACTACAGAAAACCTGGCTGTAGCATCGTTGCAAGTTGTAATGGACCGATGGCTTACACGTCGTGAAATAAGATAATAGTGGCCTACAAATGTCTTCCCATCCCCCAGGTGGCAGATGTTTGTGTGTGAGAAAGGCCGAAGAGGCGGTCTTTTGAAGATGCACTACCAAAAATTGCAAAGGAACCGACCTAACCCGTGATAAAAACTCAACGATGATGCTTATCGCTAGCAAAATGGATATTTCTTGGGAAGCGCACTTTCCATTTTTTTCATATTTGTAAGTAATATTCTGTATCGCTGGAATGGCTTTTTTTCACTTAGTATTAGCACGCAAGCAGCTATTCTCTTTAATTAGTAACCGCGACATTTCGTGATTCTATTTCAAGTGGCGAGGACTACAGGAGCTCCTCGTCATTAGATTAAAGGTACAACAACCACTACGGAAACAAGAAAAAAACGTTGTCAACCTGTGAGAGTAATAAAACCCAAATTCCTCAAGCACAGCAAACACTGCGAAGTCTCGAATGAAGTCAACTGGTTGAGGCAGGGTCAAGGTCAAGTCGCAGCCTCGGTATCGCTGTAGACCGGCATTGATGAAGCTAATGGGCAGGCCGACGAAGATCTGGTTGATGATGACGACTTTGGTTGTGTGCCAAAGTGGACCAGACTTAATCTGTAAAACAGGTTGAAATCAGTGGGTGAAGATATTAACAAATTTAAGAAGAGAAAGAAGCAATAAATGATGTATGTTTCGGGGACCGTGCAACACGAGGACTTACAGGAACGTCCTTGTTTAGAGTTGCGTCCCTTATTTTAGCACAATGAACGTCCCCAAAATGGCCATTTTAGACATCCCGTGTAGGTAAGGAAGTAAAATAGTTATTTGATCACAAATACATTGAATTACCCTTTACCTCTAACAACGGAACAGTTATTATTTGATTATAATATCATTGAACGAGAAGTTAAGTTAAGTAAAAGTCAAGTGTGGGTGAGGGCAGAGGTAGTCAGTCGTCCAGGTCTGTAAACAGACAGCTGGGTACGAATGTATGTCCCACTTTAAAAATGATCGCCGTCGTTATGTAGCTGGAGTTAGTGAGTGTTTGGTTTCACGCCACGTTTAGCAATACTCCAGCATTGTCACGGCGTTTGACACCAGAAATGAGCTTCACACAATGTACCCATGTCTGGAATCGAACTCGGAAGCGAACGCTTTAATCACCAGGTTACCCTCACCGCCCCCATATAGCTGGAATATTGCTGAATGCTGTGTTCGAAAACAAACAAACAAACAAACACATTCAAATATGACTCGCGCTTGTAGGCACACGGAAAACGTACACATGTACAAGTCACTACCTACTCACATTCGGGCTTTCCCCACTCACTCACTCACTCACTCATAACATGGCTGAACTATCCTTTGACGGAATTGCGTTTGTTTTTCCCTATTTTCACAAGTCGCTGATTGCTATTCCTCAAATGGACATTTATCAATACAGTAAACTACGTTTATAACGAACACGCTTATAACGAACTGACCGATATAACGAACATATTTTTGGTCCCGGCCATTTGTGGTATATATGCTTTTAACGAACAACTGTTATATCGAACTAAAATCAGTGGTCCCTTTGAGTTCGTTCTAACCGTAGTTTACTGTACTTAAGAAAAGGCAAAACGTATATTTCTGATATCTTGATACTAACACAATCATTCAATCGTTGTCAAGAAATAGGGACGCTAAAGTAACGACCTTGTCAAGAGCATTATCAAACCGAATTATCATTTCCGATCGTGGTGAGACAAGTGTACTTCACATACTCGTAAAGACAGACCAGTGACAATCGTAGGGCAGCAGTACGTGACGCCGAGGCCACGTCGTGTCACGTGCAGAACAAAGGCCTGGGATCGCGGTTACGAGTCACAGATATACTCCAGCCGTGCCTATGTCATCTTGGTGCAGTGGCTGTCAACGTATCTGGATGTCCTAGATCTAGGGTAGGTACACACGCATCTTTATGTTGATATAAATTTATTATGGTAATCCCAAATGATTATACAAATACATTTCGACAATGCAGATCATAATAAATGGAAATACTCTCAACATTTTAAAAAGTGTTTTATTAATTTGATTTTGTTTGTTTGTTTGTTTGTTTGTTTAACGCTGCACTCAGCAATATTCCAGCTCTATGACGGCGGTCTGTAAATAATCGAGTCTGGACCAGACAATCCAGTGATTGATACTGTGAGCATCAATCTACGCAATTGGGATCGATGACATGCATCAACCAAGTCAGCGACCACCCGATCCCGTTTGTCGCCTCTTACGACAAGCATAGTCGCCGTTTATGGCAAGCATGGGTTGCTGAATTATTAATTTAAAGGGAGCGATGGGATAGCCTTACGGTTAAAGCGTACCCTCGTCACGTCGCCGGCCCGGTCTCGATTCCTCGCATAGATATAGTGGTTGAGGCTCATTTCCGGTCATGCTGTCACAATCTCATTAAAATCAGATCTCAGTTATCGTTACCGCTACACAAAGATCTGCATGAGGACACCCCTTTAGGGTAACGCCAGAACGACCTTTCATCCGACCAATCAGAGCTTCGCTTACCAGATCAGGAAAGTGTGTTTTCTCGAAAAGGTTGACACGGGGTGTTCCGAACGACAGTTACGGCCTGTACGACTGATTCCGTCAAAACATCATCTATATCTCTCTTCAGTGGGATAAGCATTTGAACGGACGTTGCATTGTAAACGCCATGGCAACGGGATGTCCTCAGATGTTTGTTTAGCGGTAGCAGGATGAAAGGAGATTTATATGAAAATATTATGAAATCGCTGGTCGCTATTTTCACATACAAATCATGTAATTTAACCTTCTGATGATGTAAGCGATACTGCAATTAAGGATATACGGATTTCATAGATATTTACTGCTCTCATTTATGCATCCACACATTGCTATATTTTTCATTGCAACAAAAAACAACGCTTCACCTTTTCGCGAACACCTGGTATCATTGCATCCTTATGTGATAGTGATTCATAAACATGTGCAATAAATGTACAATGGACAAAATAAAAAATAAAAATATTATGTCAATGTTTACAAAGGTGTGTTGTCATCACTTACAGACATACTTGACGTGTGCGTCACACTCTGCTACAGACAGGGTAATCCTGTAACAAACGGCCTGTCTGGGACTTCATTTGTATTCATCCTGCATGGATGATGCCCTCATATTTTTCGTATGACATCATCTCAGTTTTATAAATTTATGCCAAGGATTATTTTGCAGTCACATGTTGTCACAAGAATTAATGAAACTTTCAGACATTTTGAGTCAATAGCTCTGAGGTATGTTGGCAAATGCTACCGTTTAGTAATTAAAGTGATCTTTGGTTGTTATTATTTTATAATATTTTACCAACATCTATCTGATAAAGACGACGAAACTATTTTCATAATCATAAGAAATGTCGGCTAAAGCCAGTGTCCAATGTACTATCCAACTTAATAATGAGCATGTGTATATTCATCATTATCAAATTATAATGATAACAGGTATTCACAAAAAATATGAGCGTATCTTGCACCACCACAAACACACGCAAAGAAAGTCCGTTGTTTACCTAAAAACACGGGAACACATGGTGGTATAATAGGGGCATAAGTCATCATCTGGAATTGGATCTGAAGTTTGGTGACTTATGCGTTACATTTGTAAATGTCCTCCATATATCTACAATGCACTTTTTGAAAGGTGCTTGAGTGTAACCCAACTTTGGAGCAAGAGTCGTGTGACATGTTATAGTGGACACCAAAGCTGGAACTGCTGGAATATGACTCGACATAAAGGGACAGTTGACTTTTGGAAAGTTGAAGTCATCCCCCATGCCACTCACTCAATTTACCGGTTGGTTTTTGCCAGGCTGGACTTTAAACTGTTTTATCCACGCCGGTCTTCCGGTGACGTCCACGATAAGGAACAATGTCCCCACCACCCAGAAGACAGAGACTGACACCAAGTAGGTTCCTGGAAACACAGTAGGGTCGGGAGTTGTACAGGATACTGTAGTTTGGTCCTTCTTTCGTTGTCAGATACACAACATTGTTTGTTTGATATGTCATTCTCGATTCACGTTGTATTTAAGCGTCTATGTGCATTGTTGGAATTGTGTTAATGTGCTGTAGGTTGACTGGTACAGTGTGTTACTGGGCTAAAGCTTAACAGTTTGTGTTTGTTGTAATTGTGCATGACATTGGCATTGTGCCAGTGTGCGGCTTGATATTGACATTGTGCCAGTGTTCTGATGTGACATTGTGCCAGTGTGTTCTGATGTGACATTGTGCCAGTGTGTTCTGATGTGACATTGTGCCAGTGTGTTCTGATGTGACATTGTGTCAGTGTGTTCTGATGTGACATTGTGTCAGTGTGTTCTGATGTGACAATGTGTCAGTGCGTTGCGGCTTTGTGCCAGTGTGTTCTGATGTGACAATGTGTCAGTGTGTTGCGGCATTGTGCCAGTGGGTTTTGATGTGACATTGTGCCAGTGTGTTCTGATGTGACGTTGTGTCAGTGTGTTCTGATGTGACAATGTGTCAGTGCGTTGCGGCTTTGTGTCAGTGTGTTCTGATGTGACATTGTGCCAGTGTGTTCTAATGTGACATTGTGTCAGTGTGTTCTGATGTGACATTGTGCCAGTGTGTTCTGATGTGACAATATGTCAGTGTGTTCTGATGTGACATTGTATCAGTGTGTTCTGATTTGACAATATGTCAGTGCGTTCTGATGTGACAATGTTTCAGTGTGTTCTGATGTGACATTGTGCCAGTGTGTTCTGATGTGACAATGTGCCAGTGTGTTCTGATGTGACATTGTGCCAGTGTGTTCTGATGTGACAATGTGTCAGTGTGTTGCGGCATTGTGCCAGTGGGTTTTGATGTGACATTGTGCCAGTGTGTTCTGATGTGACATTGTGCCAGTGTTTTCTGGTGTGACATTGTGCAAGTGTGTTCTGATGTGACAATGTGTCAGTGTGTTGCGGCATTGTGCCAGTGGGTTTTGATGTGACATTGTGCCAGTGTGTTCTGATGTGACATTGTGTCAGTGTATTCTGACGTGACAATGTGTCAGTGCGTTGCGGCTTTGTGTCAGTGTGTTCTGATGTGACATTGTGCCAGTGTGTTCTGATGTGACATTGTGTCAGTGTGTTCTGATGTGACAATGTTTCAGGGTGTTGCGGTATTATGCCAGTGTGTTCTGATGTGACATTGTGCCAGTGTGTTCTGATGTGACATTGTGTCAGTGTGTTCTGATGTGACAATGTGTCAGTGCGTTGCGGCTTTGTGCCAGAGTGTTCTGATGTGACAATGTGTCAGTGTGTTGCGGCATTGTGTCAGTGTGTTCTGATGTGACATTGTGTCAGTGTGTTCTGTTGTGACAATTTGTCAGTGCGTTGCAGCTTTGTGTCAGTGTGTTCTGATGTGACATTGTGCCAGTGTGTTCTGATGTGACATTGTGCCAGTGTGTTCTGATGTGACATTGTGCCAGTGTGTTCTGATGTGACAATGTGCCAGTGTGTTCTGATGTGACATTGTGTAAGTGTGTTCTGATGTGACATTGTGCCAGTGTGTTCTGATGTGACATTGTGCCAGTGTGTTCTATGTGACATTGTGTCAGTGTGTTCTGATGTGACATTGTGCCAGTGTGTTCTGATGTGACATTGTGCCAGTGTTTTCTGATGTGACAATGTGCCAGTGTGTTCTGATGTGACATTGTGCCAGTGTTCTGATGTGACATTGTGCCAGTGTGTTCTGATGTGACATTGTGCCAGTGTTTTCTGATGTGACATTGTGCCAGTGTGTTCTGATGTGACAATGTGTCAGTGTGTTGCGGCATTGTGCCAGTGTGTTCTGATGTGACATTGTGCCAGTGTGTTCTGAGCCCCACCTTTTACCATAAATGTATAAACTGATCCATGAACTTTTTCTACACTTAACGTTGTTCACATTGGCAGGTACTGCCATAATGTGAGCGTACGTTCACCGTGTCATGTTACGCCAGCAGATTGTCAGCCACATACGTCTTGTTATCCAGGTATAGTAGCTTACACACCTTGACGTCGACTAAACCCGAGACAGTGAAATGAAACTAATACATGGAATCGCTTTGATAGAAGGAGTTAGTATGTTAGTGTTGTGGCTTGACACGGACGTTATATTTGTGTGATGTAGCTTGACAGAGACACTGTTACCGTGTTGTAACTTGACCAACACATTGTTATCTAGTTGTGGCTTTACACAAACATTCCGTTGCCGGGTTGTAGCTTGACATAAACATAACGCTACAGTGTTATAACTTGGCACATATATTGCTGTGTGACATAAACATATCGCTACAGTGTTATAACTTGGCATATATATTGCTGTGTGACATAAACATAACGCTGCAGTGTTATAACTTGGCACATATATTGCTGTGTGACATTAACTTAGGATTTCCTTTGGTGTTACATATACGTACATTGTATTATTGCTGTGTGACATTAACTTAGGATTTCCTTTTGTGTTACATATACGTACATTGTATTATTGCTGTGTGACATTAACTTAGGATTTCCTTTTGTGTTACATATACGTACATTGTATTATTGCTGTGTGACATTAACTTAGGATTTCCTTTTGTGTTACATATACGTACATTGTATTATTGCTGTGTGACATTAACTTAGGATTTCCTTTTGTGTTACATATACGTACATTGTATTATTGCTGTGTGACATTAACTTAGGATTTCCTTTTGTGTTACATATACGTACATTGTATTATTGCTATGTGACATTAACTTAGGATTTCCTTTTGTGTTACATATACGTACATTGTATTATTGCTGTGGGACATTAACTTAGGATTTCCTTTTGTGTTTCGGACGAATAGTTTCGCCTTGCCCGTGTCTATTCACGGAAATTGATTGTCCTAATATAAATAAATGCAGCATATGAATAAAGATATTTCAATGTCATCAATACATTCACGCTTACCCATCGACGCCAGCCATATTCCGCGATCAAACATCAGTGTAGCATTCACGTTGGTTGACAAATCTGTTATACCTCAACTCCGTGCTGGAGCCATATAAAAATACAAAAATAACATTGACGACAGACCAGCGAGCAAAGTCCGCGCCAGGTTGTACCGTGGCCTGGAAACTTGCCAAAGTAACCTCGTTATAGCGCTGTACTGGATAAATTGTCCTTCACCTCGAGCTACGTTATAAGATACGCCCTGTGCGCTATGGCGAATAAGAGGGGTCGTCATTACGTAATATCTTCCTCCCAAATGGAAGTTTAAAAAAATATGGATCCGTATTTGAATATGTGAGAAGGTCTTTTACTATTCATGACAATAATGATTCAGCTGTGCTTAATGGGGTTTTCAAAATGCATTGTGCTCTTACCAATAAGAAGATATGTTAGTCAAGCGGTGTGGTAGACTAGCGGATTAAGCTTTAGCTTGTCACTTCAAAGACCGGGATCGATTCCTCGGTAGAAATGTGTGAAGTCCAATCTTGGTGTTGTTCTTCGAGATATTGTTGGAAAATGGCGATAAAAATACTCATGCTCTGCCTATTTACCCGCTTTGTCTATATGTTGTCGCAAACGGGTGTGATATCAGCTAATGGTTGGAAAGTGTGGATGATGTCATATTTATGGCAACTTAATCATTGATAACAATCTTGCACTTCGTAATTTATCCAACTTCTAAATGCCACCGAAAATCACCCCTTATACTGTCTCGATGGCGGTCTTCGTCTTCATTTTAAAAATCATACTTTTACGCCATAAAATGCTATTCGATCCGTACACTAGGCGGGGTAGGGGAAGAGTAGCCTTGCGGTTACAGTAGTCGCTCTTCACGCCGAAGGCCAGGGTTAGATTCCCCACATGGGTACCATGTCAGAAGCCGATTCCAGGTGTACCCCGCCATTTGAATATCGCTAAAACCCCAGTACAGCATCCGCGTAATATACATAAGGAGTATTTGGTGATATGTTTTGATGATATCGCTATATCTGATGACAGCTTGATGGCTTTGAGATTGTCTGAGGAAGAAACCAATGGTCATGTCGTCTTCATGCACATGGATGATAACGTTACAGCATTTCGCCCTCGCATATCTAACTCGAAATACTATAATTGTCAGAAATTAAGAATTGAACGTCAGTTTGGATGGGTTCATTGAAGTGATAACGATTTAAAAGCGCTGGTTAAACACGAAGGTTTAACAAGCGCTATTAAATCGTTCACACTTCAATGAACCCATCCAAACTGACGTTCAATTCTTCTAATTTCATACTTTGTAGTTCTCGCCTAATAATATCGTAACAATGTTTGCTTAAATTTGAAGTCCTCTTGTTTCGCCGAAGAACATTGCAACAATGTTATTTTGTCGGTATTTGCCGGATCTCGGTCACATACTTTTCCCCACTCATACACAGTTACGCAAAGAAAGTTAGTTCTTTGAATATATACAACATATGTCAACATAATTTGATTCTCTGAACAAACTAACAAACAATATTTGGGATAAATCAAAACTTAAAAAAAGGTTACAGGAAAGTGAACAAAAATATAAAAATGACCTCGACGCACCGAGGCGAGGTCAACCTTCAAGCGCGGATTTATATATGACGTCACATAAGTTTGTAAAGAGGTGCATTTTGAGTCGAACGGGAGCATGAGGATGAAATTTATACTTACTGCTGTTGAAAATGAAGTTTATTGAGCAGTTATGGAAAACACCCCGACGCGTGAACCCTCTCAAGGCCCTAGCAAATTGGGAATATCACCGATTTATGAATGTGTTGCTTGTGTTTGGATAATCGCAAACCGATTCG